CGCCGCAAGAAGGATGCTCTTGCACGCCAAGTGGACATTCCCACCGAGCTGTGGGACTTTGTTGACTGGTCTACCGTGCTTCAAAAGGAGGAGAAGGCCGGCATGGCACTCACTGTTGCCGGTGTCGTTGGTACAAGTGTGCTCAGCGGCTATAGCCAGATGAACCTTGCTCTTCGTGCAGCCCAGATCCTGGGAACCGACAACGTGCGCCGCCTCATTATTCCTGGTTTGATTGCGGCCGGTAAGTCTAGATTCTCTTGAGCAGTTCCCGTCTGAACATTGCGCTAACTTTGACTCCTCTATAGCCGTGGCAGCGACATATTACGTCCTGAACCAGATTCCTCACTCTCTCCCGCACCGTCTGAAGGAGAAGATCTCCACTCAGCTCGCTGCCATCGACTACGTTCACTCGAACAGCATTCGTATCTCCGGTTCGGTGCGGAAGGTCCTTCGCTTCCCCGCCGACTCCCTTCGCGTTGGCCTTCAACGTTCTGTAGAGAAGCTTGACGGACGCCGTAACGAAACTCTGCGTGTCAAGGCCGAGAGCGACGTTGCGCTCAAGTACTTTGCCAATCTTGTCCGCGAAAGCGCTCATCAGCGTCGGGTTGTCGAAGCTGTCGATCTCGATGGCCATCCTCCTGGTCTTGCTGGTATTGGAGGTTTCCACTAGACGGCCTGGGTGGGGAGGCATTTTCCCCTTTGGTTGGCTTTTCTTTGTTATAGTCGGCGTTACTGGTGCCTGTTGTGAGAAAAACACAGATTATCATCATACCCCTTGTTTTGAGCACACACAAACAATCCACACACACACACATAGATCGCCTGTATGAGACAGGAAGGAGAGGTTAAAATTGCAAGCGTATGTATTACGAGCTTATGAGTTGACGGAGAAATGATAGGGTAGACATAGCTGATGAAGTGATTCTCCCCTCTGAGATGTAGATCCGAAGATGGTGAATTGCTTGGTTAGTGTCGCTTGTGCGGTTCTCCCTTGAACTTGTCTTGGTTATTGGTTTCTATAATGGAGCATACGTAGCTGCAAGAGGGCGGGAAAAGTTACAACGGGAGTCGTACGATAGGGAACGGATTGAATGCTATAGATACAAGGCCCGGGGTTGGTTCTCAATCCATCCTGCTTTATAATCGTACGAATACCCCGTTTTTCTTGGGTCCCGTAGCCACGCATATCCTTGATGACCTCCCGATTTCTAATATCTCATATAATTCTACGCGCTGCGCTCGTTTTGTCTCGGACCACCCAACAGCAGACACTGGCATATAACAGTCTCGGTCCCTCCTCTTTCACCTACCGTCGACCACCTCTCATCACAATCACGATAATATCCAAAACCATTCCACCCATCCGTCACCTCAATCCCTCAAAAATGGCGTCCCAACCCTCCTTCTCAACAAAAATCAAGCTAGCAGCCGCGCACTCGGCCCCCGTCTACATGTCCAAATCCGCCACCCTCGCCAAAGCCATCAACTTGATCCACGCCGCGGCGCGCGACGGCGTCTCTATGCTCGTATTCCCCGAGACCTACGTCCCCGGTTATCCTTACTTTATCGAGTGCTACCCGCCCCTCAAACAAGTCGCTGCTCTGGCCAAGTATGCCGAGGAGTCTGTTGTGGTTGATGAAGATCTGGACGGGGTAGTAGAGGCCTGCAGAACCACAGGTGTGTCGGTTGTGTTGGGGGTGTCGGAGCGGATGAAGGGTGGTTATACGTGTTTCAATTCGCAGGTTTTTGTTGCTGGTGGAAGGGGGGGCGGGATCAAGGGAACGCATAGGAAGTTGCAGCCTACGTATGTGGAGAGGATTATCTGGGCGCAGGGGGATGGGTCGACACTCAAGACTTGGAAGGGCATGCTTGGCCCTGAAGCAGATGGAAAAGAAAAGTCCTGGAACGTAGGCGGCTTGGCCTGCTGGGAACACACCATGCTCCTCGCCCGCCAGGCCTTAATCACCCAGCAGGAACATGTGCACGCGGCGGCGTGGCCGGCGCTGTCGACGATGGCCGGGTTTGAGGAGAGCGCGGACAGCCAGATTGAGGCGTTGATGAAGTGTCATGCGCTGACGGCGCAATGTTTTGTGGTGGCGGCGAGTAACTACGTGGATGAGACGTGTCTCGAGTGGATGAAGGAGAATATTGGGGAGCAAGGGTTTGTGAAGCGTGGGGGAGGCTGGTCGGCGGTTATTCATCCGTTTTGTAATGTGTTGGCGGGGCCGGTTACCGGGGAGAAGGAGGAGCTGGTTACGGCGGAGGTTGACTTGAAGGATCTGGGTATGGTCAAGATTTGGGTAGATGCTGATGGTCATTATAGTAGGCCGGAGATTCTGCCGTTTGTGTGGGATAAAGAGGCGTATTGGGAAGCGGGAAAGAAGAAGCATGAGCTGAGAGTATCTGGAGTGAAAGGGGGAGAGAAGGCTGAAAAGGCGTAAAGGGTGGAGGACCGAAAAGGCGAAGTCGAATTATATGGGCTGAGTCACGGTGAGTTGATGATAGATCATCCACAGGCTGTGTTTCTTCTTGCTATCGCGTTCCTTCCGATGCCACTTTACATGTAACCATCATGCAGACCACATCAAAGCCCTGAGCCTCTCCTTCTCTTCATCTCCTCCAAAGAGGACATCTATCCCCCTTCTCACAAGCGAGCAAATATCGGCTCTGGTAAGCCCAAAGTGTTTGGCCACGAGTGCATATTCGTTGGACAGCGGGCTGCCGAAGACGCCAACATCATCGGTCTAACTCTATGTTAACCTCAGCCCTTTCATGTAGTTGTCTTGCGGTCTTCAACCGGCCCAAAATCTTGGGACCACGAAAACAGATTCAAGACGATGGAAGGGGAAAATATCGAGACTCACACTCAAAACAACAACCGTCTCCTCAACCTTCCACCACTCTCCAAAATGACTTTTCACGCGCAAGGTCAGCAACTCAGTCACCACTTCTCCCATCCAAAACTTGGACTCTTTCAAACACTTACTGGCTCTCAAACCCCCCGCAAACCATGCCCGCATGGACATTACAGCTCAGACACAACTCCAATCCCATCCCACCCCTCCTCTTCACCTTCTCCCTGATTCTTTCGTTCAAATGAATCACATGCCCAATCCGATCCGGTTTCCAGCTCAGTAACGTCAACAACTCCTCCTCTGTTCCCGACGCCTCGGCCTCAGCAAAGTGCAGCGTTATTCCTAACCCAGGAATTGTCCGCCCGGCCTCCTCAAACACAGGAGTAAAAATGTCGATGGGCCCCTTTGCAGGGTCGCCGCAGAGGTCGATGCCTACCACCCCCCCTTGTCCGGAAAACTGGCGGCAGAGGGCGAGGACTTCGTAGGCTTCGGGGAGGGTGTTGCGCCGGTCGACGGAGAGGATGAGTTTTGTCTTCAAGGCACTAGTGGTGGTGCTTTCGAACTCGGCGATGGCGGAGAGGATGGTTGAGACGTATTGAGCTTTGGTTAAACCGGCGTGAGGCATGGCGCGCGGAGTGGTGCGCAGCTCGAGGTAGACAACGCCGTCGGAGGCGAAGTCAGAGAGGACGGAGAGGGTGGTGTAGCGGAGGGCCCAGACGTCGGAGACGAGGTGGTAGATGTAGGAGGAGAAGAGGGGAAAGAAGCTGGTGTTGTTTAGTTAGTATGTGGTGGCCTTTGTTGTGTTGCCGGATACTGGTCATGGGGGTTTATCTCGTCTGAACTTGATAATGGGTTGTCTGATCAGGGGAGGAGGTTTGGTGGACATCAACCAAGTACATCTACTTCCAAAAGCCTACTTGAAAGAAGCACAAGAAACAAGACCAAGATCAGCCCGTCCCCTCGGGTCCCGGCTGACTTTCCAATATCCATTCCTGGGAAGTCCAAACGGCACGGCCCGCTTGCGCATACCCGTCTCTTCTTGGACGCCGGAGTATGTAGAAAGGTGATCGGATGGGACGGGAAAAGGCGACAACGCAGTTCCAGTGAACGAAACTTACGTCTTCAAGTCATAATCATGTTTACCCAATGGCATCTCAATCAAGGGATCTTGAAGGTCTGTTTCGCCATTTTCCTTCTTTTTCAGCCAGACTTCATGGAGACACTGGCGACTGATGCTGCCACTAAGATGGGCATGAAGCTGTTTGGTTCAGAATGTCTTGTCAGTTGGGATCCTGAAACGTTAACACCAAGAACATCATATTTGTGTGCTAACGATGTGCTCATTGCCGGCGAGTGTTCTTGGCTGATTACCTCAATCTTGGGCAACGCCTTGTAATCCACAGCATCGACTGTCATTGCGAGTGTTCTACTAGAACTTGATTCTTGATGTTGATTTTGCTCACCGTCGGTTGGAAATGGCACCGAGGCTGGACTGTTTCGCACTCGCCTGAAGTTATCACCAAGAAAGCGCGCGGGGTATGCATGTAGTGTACGCGGGATACGCACTAGTACGGAGCCAACCGGCGTCGGAGTGTTCTCCGTACCTGTCAATTGTGCAATTCGTCCGTAGCGCCGGGACTTTTGAACGGCGCCGTGGATAAGCGGTGGGGATGCCGACCAGCGCCGCCGGTTCCTCTGCCAGGGCTTGCCATACTACGTCGGTATGTACTGCCATGCCGGCGTGCCTTGTCTCACAACGGACAATTGTTAGAGGTATCAGCCAGCTGCAATTATACCGTGGCCCGAATATCCTATACTTGCCGCATTGGCAGTCGGTATTTCCCTGAGCTGCTGAGGAATTTGTGTTTCCAGGACTTCGAGGCCCCATTCCTAGCTTGTTACAAGTCGAACAAATACCACCTTTCTCCTCTCCCCTCCTGTCTCGTGTAGGTGAACTTTTTACCGTACCTGGAATTTTGACCCGCATCCGGATGGGTCAGGGTCTTGTAGGCTGCAGTAAGCCGATCTGTATCAACGGCACCGAGCATTTGTCCTTGGAAGCAATAATGGTCTGTTTCATTCCCTGGCGGTTCCTGGATACCCCTTTCCATCTCATGGCTCTCCAGAACAGCAACGTGCATTGGGATGGCAAACTTCGGCGCTTTCATCTCAACTCGTCCGGTCGCAGGGGGAGGTGCCGGGTCCTGTGTAAGCGCCCTTTTTTTTCGAGTTCACTGGTTGCATTTTGGCGAGCTTTTAGCTTTGTCCCGATACGGTGTATTTGTTCAATCTCCCATGATTGACTGACACCTCGGCGCATCATAGCCTCAGAAAGGATGTGTGCTTTGCCAGATAGGGCAAGTTGCTCGCAATACATCATTGCACAGGCGCACGGTCCGCCACTTCACCATTTGGTACATAGGCACCCCGGGAAATCAGTGCTAGAAATGTCTCTAGTGTAATAAGCGAGCTGCAAGAGATGACAGCGCGTCGCCGTCATTGCTACCGTTGCACTCGAGCCATCCTAACTGTCGAGAACCTGAAGTGGAAGCTGGCGAAGACAGGACTGATGATCTCGGTGATTTCGTCAGTCATTCACTGATTGCCTATGACATTACACTAGACTACTCAATGCCTGGTTACGGACATGGCATTCACAAACTTTATGCCCGTGTCTTGGAAGATCCGGGTCCGTTGTTTCTATGCGCAGGTTTGGCCCCCCGCCGACATTCCTGAACTTTTGCTGTGCTCCACAGTTAAGGCCAAGAGAAGTAGTGATTCGAACCAAGGCATCTCCGGTTAATCGAAGTTGCAGATGGCTATCTCAACTCATCAAGGAGGCGTCTTTGAAAATCCCAGCAAGAAGAGACGCGATTTTCCCGTCCGATTGATTACAACCGTTGATCCGTCATCCACAAGTTGGGAGTGCTGGGTTTTGGTGGTAGGGTCCCAAGGGACCACAGGGGTTGTTCGAGCTACGTAGTATATCGTATTGTACCTACGGTCTTGTATGGTGCCGCACGATGAGATACGGTGCTTTCCTTGAGCAGCCGATTTTTGAGACGCCGTGACTTCGGATCTTGATGCTTCATATCAGGTACGTACTCATAGCCACCTCAGCGACCAACCCATGTGTACGAGTTTTGCGCGGTTGGGTCTATATCTGTGACCTCCGGATAGCTGGGCTCGTGGCAACTTGCTGCCGCTTGGCTACAGTTCTGCTTGCAAGCAAGATGTTTGCAGCGCTCGTAATATTAAAATTCGGTAGTATGCCGCCACTCGGGTTGTTGTATTCCCATGGTTGATTGTCCTGTGGATTTATACTGGCTGACACGGAGACAGACGTATCCAATATCACTGGAGCATCCGTTCCTGCATCCGGGTTCCATCATCGGCACGTCGGCCGTTAGCAAGCGGGTTGTCATCCATAGAGATCACCGATACACCTGCAATGCGGTCCCGGTCACTCTGGAGGAACGGTTTACGCCAGACCTCGTGTCCTGGATAGTGACCTTGGGCCCCGGCCATCTTATCACCGTTCATCAGTTCCCGCCAGTGGTAGACTGATGGATCGTAACTGCTAAACAAGCGAGCTGGAGTGAACGCACTCTTTTGCCGGAACTATGTCTCTGTACGGCCCGAGCTCTTTCGATGGATCTGTGTCTGTCACCCTGCATATCGAATTTCGGAATCGAAAAGGGAGAGGGCGGCGGGAGGAGTGGGAGACAGAGTGGAGGGCTTGCAAGAAAGGTGCCGGGGGCTGCTCAACCGTGGGATTTTATGCGCTATTATTTAACAAGTTCTTTGCAGTATTTTCTTTGGTGAGAGATACTGTCAAGCTGTTAGCGCACAGGAGCAGCTAACCGCAAATTGGCCCTGACTACTGAATAGCTTCAGTCCTGTTTGGGTATGGTTGGTCGCGCCATAACGCTGCAGACAAGGGGGCAGGTCCTTGTCCCTAGCGTAGACCCGGTCGGCTGGAGCCTCCTTTTCTCTTCCTGGCAGGTTGCCCCTGGTGCCTTGCGCCTTCGCCTTTGGACGGAGTGCCTGTTTAATGAGACCTTGAAATCTCTTGGACCTTGACAGCTCACATGGACTGCCAGACAGCTCACCGGATTCTCAACTGTATCAATGTCGAATTCGCTGTGTTTCCGTGAGGCAAGGGAAAATTTCAGCGTGGCCGTGGTGGTGTTGTATCGAAGTAGGTTTACTAATCAAAGCGATTTCATGATACCGTGCGAGCGTGGGTGCCTGAAATTTGTAAAGTCTGGTTGATTTCAATCGAGTTCATTGCGCGAGCGAACATTTACAAATTACGACCCCAAGTCCGTCCGGTGGAGCCAGTCCGTGCACATGCATTTGCGTGGGCCGTCTCCGCTCTCCATCGGCGCAAAGTGCAATTCGTCCGCGGGGCCTTGCTGTCCGCCCGCTTACACGTCCCAGACCAGGGCACTGCAAAGAAGCAGGGTGACCAAGTCCACAGAGAACCCACGGTCTCTTTAGCTTCCACCTCCTGGCTTTTCTTGGTGGAGGTCTCGTCAGTCGGCGGGATATTCTTTGCATCCACTCTGCGAGAAGTCGACATGCGCCCATCAACCACGGGGGAGGAGCTGCACCCGAGGAATGGGGCGCGAAAGGGCCTTCAATTTCAGAGATCCATGACTCCGGTGCCTTCGGCCAGGCTTGTTGAAGAGCTTGGCAAGATTTTATTCGTTTTTTTTTTTCCTGTTCCAACGGGGGTGCGGTGCGGTGCGGCGTGGCTGGTGCGAGGTGGGTGTCCATGTCCGCCGTTGAAATGTTGATGATCAGAATCAGAAGGGAAGAGGTCGAAATAACTGCCCCAGCTTCAAGGTTCGCAAATCTCTTTACTCCCTTCTGAAAAGTCCCGACTTGTTCCATCATCCAAGCCTTTCGGCCCGCCATCCAGCCCGCTGTCCGCTGACCGGGCTCTCCTGTGTTATGGATAAAAAAAATCGTGAATTGGGCGATGTCTGGGGGTGGCAAGGCCTTCATGCCCAAGGTGGCAGTTTGTACAAGAAATAACGAGTTTGATCATTCTCAAACAGAAGATTTCTGTAGAACCACTAGCGCCTTGGCTGTACCGCGCTGCTCTTTTACTATGTATGTAGGTGTAAACTATATTCATGCAGAGGTGTGCTCGCTCTATTGGGGAGGTTTGCTGCACGCATCATCCATCCCCCGTCCATCGCCTAGGAGACCCGACTGGACACCAACGAACCTGGAAAACCCGAATCCATTCCTCTGTAACCTCAATCTGCACTCGCTTCTGCTTCCATTGACACCCGGCTCTTGGGGCTTTTCACTTCCACACTGCTTCATGGGACGACGTTTGACACGGCCTCCATTTCCACCTGCCCCCAAGCGTAGAGGTACCCGGACACTTAGTAGTGTACAGGCTAGTACAGGTAGACCCAGTGCAGGCCTCCCGTCCGTCACTCTGTGTGAGGAGGTTCCGCTCTGCCCCTACTGTAGAGTAACCCAGTGCAGTGCACGCAGCGACCCAGCAAAGGCTCCATCGTGCTACCCCCCGACCGGGCCCCTCCCCCCGGGCCCATTCCCAATCTGGCACCAGGTAATAATCGCAAGGACCTAACTCTGGCCAGCCTCTTCGTTCGCCAGTTCGATTCGGCCGCCCGCCCACTCGCAGAACCGAAATCGATCCCCAGTCCTTCTTTTTCCCCTTCTTTCTGTTCTTCACCACCGAACTCCTGTCGATTAGCGACAGCCTCCCCAACTTGCTTTTACGACCTGACAGTCACTCGCGTCGGTCGCGTCGCTCGAGACTCTCGTGTCCATCACTGCCACCCTCTCTCGAAAGTTGACGCCACGCACGCCTGCCTTTAGTCTCCATACTCTAGGTTGTCAGGGTCGCTCTTCGCCTGGTCAATATCTGCCATCCACTCATTCGTTCGACAAGAGTCTGTCCGTGGACAAGCAAGAGGCTTTTCCCCCTCAATCCCTCTCCACCACTCTCCTCATTTTTTCCAACAGCAGTCATTTCGTTCAGAGCAGGATCGGGACCTGCCTCGCCTGCCTAGCTGTTTGAATTGGCCCACCACCGCATCGCCCGACCCCTGGAGCTAGCAATTCCTCCTCCACCGGCGCCCCGTACCAGCACCACTGCTTTGCACCATTCACAACATCCAAACTCCAGCAACCGACTCCGACTTGCTGCATCTCTGAAGATCCGACGTCCCTAGAGTCCAACCTTTGTCATCGTCATTCTCCCTGTCCCAACCAGTCACAACAACATCACTTCGGAGTAGTCCGTCCCTCATACGAGTTCGTCGCCAATTGTGATTACGAATTGAACCAACACACCTCAAGAAAAAAAGAAGATGGACTCCCGATCAAGCGATGTGTCGCCAGAGGCGATGCAGGCACGAATTCAACAAGCGCGTCGCGAGGCCGAGAATCTCAAGGACAGAATCAGGCTGAAGAAGGAAGGGCTCGCCGATACTTCCCGTGAGTCCCCTTGTCGGCAGGTCGCGAACTGCGCCGTTGTCCGCCCCTGCATGCCGTCGTCAACGGCGGATTGACCGCTGCATAGTGTTGCTGACATGATGTGTAGTCTACGAGGTCGCGCAACAGGCCCATGAGCCACTTCCGAAGAACAACATGATGAAAACAAAGAAGACGCTGAAGGGCCATCTGGCCAAGATTTATGCGATGCACTGGTCTACCGACCGGAGGCACCTTGTCTCAGCATCTCAGGACGGCAAGCTCATCATCTGGGACGCTTATACGACCAACAAAGTTCACGCCATTCCCCTACGATCGTCTTGGGTTATGACTTGCGCCTATGCCCCGAGCGGCAACTTCGTTGCCTGCGGTGGTCTTGACAACATTTGCTCTATTTACAACCTGAACTCGAACCGTGACGGCCCGACTCGTGTCTACCGGGAGCTTTCAGGCCATGCGGGCTATCTCTCTTGCTGCCGTTTCATCAACGACCGCAGCATCCTCACCTCCTCCGGCGATATGACATGCATGAAGTGGGATATCGAGACAGGAACAAAGGTTGTTGAGTTCGCCGACCATTTGGGCGACGTCATGAGCATCAGCTTGAACCCCACAAACCAGAATACCTTTGTGTCAGGTGCTTGCGATTCTTTCGCTAAGCTTTGGGATATCCGCGCCGGCAAGGCCGTACAAACATTCGCTGGCCACGAGTCCGATATCAACGCCATCCAGTTTTTCCCCGATGGCCACTCTTTCGTAACGGGTTCCGATGACGCTACTTGCAGACTTTTCGATATCCGCGCAGACAGAGAGTTGAACTGCTATCGCGTGAGTTACCTGTGGATTATCTTGCTCTCGGTTCTTGATTTTTTTTTTCTCTTGCTGGCTTTGGAGCTAACATTTGGGTAGTCCGAATCTATTCTTTGCGGCATTACCTCTGTCGCGACATCAGTCTCTGGACGTTTGCTCTTTGCCGGTTACGATGACTTTGAATGCAAGGTCTGGGATCTTACTCGCGCTGAAAAGGTTGGCTCTCTCGTGGGCCATGAAAATCGTGTCAGCTGTCTGGGCGTTTCCAACGATGGAATAAGTTTGTGCACAGGCTCTTGGGACTCCTTGGTAAGTATCTACCCGCAACATCAGATCGATATGGTACAGGCCGCAGATTAGACTAACTCCCTCACAGCTCAAGGTTTGGGCATATTAGGCGCATGTGCGATACTGATACGACCGGCACCCTCTGGATACCCGACCACGACGCGTCACTTTGCAAAGCCTATCGAGTGCTTTTTTCTATTTGTTCTATTCAACCTGATAACGCCTCTTGATCCTTGCGATCTGGCGTAGACAGGACGAAGTCACGACATATTTTTCGACCCAACAATCTCGGCTCCCCGGGCTTGGACCATCATCAACTGGCCTTGCTCCCCGGTTGGAACCCTTTTTAGCTTCTATAGCGGTTTTTCCGATACTCCACTCGATTTGCTGCGTCATATTTTCGGCGGGTTCAGTTCGTAAGGAGTGCGGCAGCGATACCCTGACTTTGTTCAGCTCTCCGTACGCCAACCCGCCTCTCCCCTCCAGAAAACGTCCCCCCGGATAATATGATCCGACACGTTCATCAACTTCGGGTCGCGTAATTCCCCGGGCATTATTACAGGGACGTCTGTACCAGGTTTTTTGGACCCGGTTTGGCTGGAGCAGAACGTCCAATAATCAAGGTCTGGCTCGACGGGTCGTATCATATCCCACATGAGTGGTTGCCAGTGTCTCTCACAGGGGTTGTGTCTCAAAGCAGTTTACCGGATACCCTCTCTATACGTATTTATCCACATCTTTGCGCGCATTTTCTCAGCGTTTGGTCTTTCTCTAGTCTATTACCGGCGGGGTGGGTGGGAAACCGTCAGGGTGTCTATTTTCACATGTGTTGATAAAGTAGGCCGGGAATGCAAAACGGTCCTTTTGTCTTGTGTTTTTTCGCGAGAAAGAGGAGGGAATCGGCTCACGAGTGGCGACGGTAAACAGCAGTTGCGGTAAAGGCTTTGGGGAGGTACCATACCCTTTTACTATTTCCCCGATTTTTCATTAGGCAAAGGGTGTATATCGTGGGGATCTTACCTATTCTGTCATCTTATCTTTCTTCATCTGCCCTCTTGCTCTCTATCTCCTTACCTCGCTCTTCTGATACCTAGTACCCTTATGACGGTTGTTTCTTCCACTGATGGTTAATGGTGGATATGTTATGGCCTGGATGAGGTGGTAGGAACAGAAGTGGAGGGAAAGAGGGAGGTGTGACTGGCCTTTTAAAATATTTTTTCAAGCCTTACCCCCGAGCCCTGATCTGCCCTGCCTGTGTACTATAGTTGCACTGAATGCTCAATTCATTCCATAAACCTGTTCTCGCTTGTATGCATCAGGTTTACGTGAAGTTGGTTTCCAAAGCTTGGCCAATGTGTTTGGTAGTCTAGTTATTCTTCATGTTGGAGGGAGTGTGACTTTCACCGATTTATGATTTTCGGCAGCAAGCCTAAAATAATGGGAAGTTCGTATTCATTATGGTAGACAATGCCAAAGACGCGAGACTTGCTTGCGGAGATGTAGCAGGTAACACATGGTAAGTCAAGCCCTGCCTAGTTACAGGTGCCATCAAAGTTCGGTTCACTGATGTAAGGCGCCTGCCCACCATGTGGTTTCTCGTGTGTTCATTACCATTGAGATTAATGCAGAAGCTATCGAAGTCATCCAAGCTCGTGCAGACAAGCTGGGTAGTATGCAGAAGAGATGGTCACTCCGATGTTGATGTTCAAACTGGAAGTTTGAGCAGAGGTAAACAAAGATAAAAAAGCCCCATCAACATGAAGTCTCATTGATATAGCATTCCATCTTCACAAGGCAAGGAAGTGCCACCGGAGAAAGAGAAAGGGGGGCCTAACTGTGCATTCAATTGTAGAGGTAGTCACCTCTCGTCACCAAGCTTCCCTTTCCCATCGAAGCCTTTCAGAAAGCTTTCTCCCTTAGAGATGGGCCTTTATCTCTTGCTCCTCAGGAAGCGATCATGAATAATTAGCTATAAGAGTAGTAACAGTGTGTAGTTAACAACAGCGCAACTACGTCTCTACTGAATGGTCCTCTTAGCTTCCATGTTCCAGGCACCAGATACGGATACGTTCCAAACACACATTTACGCAACAACGAACGAACGAGGTGTACGTGGTTGACAGGGTCAGACTGAAACGAAGTGAAACATGCATGATATGGTAATCTTCTTGTGTAGTAGTTTCGTAGATATGCTAGTCTCCAGTGGGCCAGTGCCCTTAACTATGACGATTTTTTCCTTGCTCAGTATACGTAACCAAAGTTTGTCTCGAAAAAGGACCTAATTGATACATGGAAAATTAACTGTCATGCGCATTGCTACCGCTATCACTTACTGTCACTTGCTATCACGGCGGCTAGATTAGATGGCAGGTGTTAATGGAGTTCAGGAAGAGCTCGAAGTCTGTCCAAGATTCAAGTGATCCTATCCATCCAGTTTTGAAATTTGAGATGAGGGTTACAGGGTCCTGTCTACCTTGGCAGAGTTCGAGTGTGACACGACCAGGTAGTCGTTGTGGTTGAGGGACAGAAAGAGACATTAAAGCATCCCGCGTCCTGTCAACAAAGTCTAAACATAGTCAAGACCCTGTCGATGACAAAACTTCTTGCGTCATATGCCATTCGTCTTATGAACCTGCAAGGTCTAATGGACCAAATCCGGGGTCCTTTCTCGGCTGGGGAAAGGGTCAAACCCATTCAGATTTGTAGATGTTCACTTCCCAGGGGGGCTATTTCGCTGCCCTTATGACGTAGGTTCCCAATCCAGGGCCCGTGAACACCCGCTTTATACTACCTAGTTAGTGTATTTGTTCTCGGGCAGTCATAAACGTTGACAAGGAACTCGAGAAATATCGTCGTTGTCCCAAGAACCAATTCTGAACCGTGATCAAAGCCAAATTCAGGGAAACCTCGCAACATCCTAAGCAAGATAAAGGCCATTGTGGCCATACAATATCCTTATCCAGAGCTTTGGCGGAGACAAGATCAAACTGGCATTGCAGACTTGAATTTCTCGTAGCCCATCTCGATCGGACATGTTCGTTGGTGCTTGTCGATCTTTGATTCCGTGCGCCAGCATCAAGGTCCGAAAGCAGCGCTTACCACAGTGCACAGTAGAACATGTGCAAATGTAGGTCTCGTCCCTCTCTGGGTTTCTCCCGTCGTTGAATAGTGTGTCAATTATCGCCGTTCTCTGCTCTTTCTGGTTATAAGTTGAACTGAAGTCAGCCATAGATCAGAAATCTCCATCACGGCAACTAAGGTCGCGGTCGCCGCATTTCTCCACGTCCCGTCTCGTCAAGAAGGGGAAGGCCTGGAAATTCCTCAGAATTCATCAGGCGCAATGAGGCCTCAAACCTAATACTTCCGGTTGGCCTCTGATGTTGGAACAATTCGTACCCTCACAGATTCCATTTGCCAGGAACCTTTTCCCCTTCTTTTCTTTTCCCTGACACCAGAAACGGCGTGCCTAAGTGATCCATCCCTGCACCGTCCTTGCATGAGTAATTGCCGCGGCGTCTTATAATCCCAGTCAACCACGCGACTAGGTCTGGGCATGCAGCGGGTAGCCAGTGTCAGCCAAAGGCACAGCGGTTGGTGCACTGGCGCCCTTCTAAGCCTCTAATTCGCCAAAAGCAGCCCCTCTTTTAGCTGGATAAGGGACCACTCCATCCCCATCCATTGTAGCCGATCACACACGAGCGAGGACAGGCACACAACCACCACACCACCTCCTTCAAACCGAAGTCTCCGATCTTTCACTTT